TGTGAAAGGAATTGTTTGCCTAATTTGTCTCAGTGAGTCTGTTATTTGTGTACAAGAAGGCTATTAATTTTTGAGTGTTGACCTTGTATCCAGCTACTTTACTGAATCTGTCAAGTGTAGAAGTCTTTTGGCAGAGTTTTTTGGGTCTTCTATATAGAGTATCATATCATCAGCAAATAATGATAGTTTAACTTCTTCCTTTTCTATCTTTATTCCTTTTATTTCTTTCTCTTGTCTAATTGTCTTGGCTAATGTTTCTAGAACTGTATTGAACAGGAATGGTGATAGTGGACATCCTTGTCTTGTTCCTGATTTTAGCATGAAGGTTTTCAGTTTTTGACCACTTAGTATGATATTGGCTGTTGGTTTTTTATAGATAGCCTTTATCAAGTTGAGATAAAGACCATCTATTCCAATTTTCTTTAGGGTTTTTTGTCATGAAAGGGTGTTGAATTTTGTCAAATTTTTTCTGCATCTATTGAGATGATCATATGATTTTTGTCTTTTAATATAGTATATTACATTTATTGATTTATGTATGTTGAACCATCCCTGCATCCCTGGTATAAATCCGATGTGGTCAGGGTGTGTGATCTTCTTGATGATCTTCTGAATTCTATTTGTCAGTATCTTATTGAGGATTTTTGCATCTATGTTTATTAGGGAGACTGGCCTGTAGTTCTTTCTTTTGGTTAGGTCTTTTGCTGGTTTTTAAATTAAAGTAATACTTGCTTCCAGGAATGAATTTGGAAGTATTGCTTCCCTTTCAATTTCATTGAAGAGTTTAAAGAATAATGATGATAATTCTTCTCAAAATGTTTTGTAGAATTCAGCAGTGAAACCATCAGGACCTGGACTTTTCTTTGTTGGAAATGTTTTAATTATGTTTTCAGTTTCACTGAATGTAATTAGGGTGTTTGAATTTTTATATCTTCTTCATTCAACTTTGGAAGTTCATAGGTATCTAGGAATTTGTCCATTTCTTCTGTGTTTTCCATTTTATTAGAGTACAGGTTTTTGAAGTAGGTATTGATAATCCTCTGCATTTCTGGTGGATCTGTTGTGATTTCACCTTTTTTATTCCTAATTACATGGATTTGAGCCTTTTCTTTCCTTTTTTTGATAAGGTTGGCTAAGGATTTATTGATTTTATTCTTTCAAAAAGCTGATTCTTTGATTCGTTGATTTTTTTTTTATCATTCTCTTAGTCTCCATTGCATTGATTTCTGCTCTGATCTTTATAATTTTCTCTCTTATGAGAGCTTTCGGTTTGTCTTGCTCTTCTTTTTCTAGTAGCTTAAGGTTAAGCATTAGGTTGTTTATTTGAGCTTGCTCTGTTTTCTTTGTATGGGCATTTATTGCTATGAATTTCCCTCATAGAACTGCCTTCATTGTGTCTCATAGATTTCTGTATGTTATATTAGCATTATCATTTAATTGTAGAAACTGTCTAATTTCTTCTTTAATTTCCTCTGTGACCCAGTGGCTGTTTGGCAGGGTATTTAATTTCCATGTGTTAGTGAAATTCTTGCGGTTTCTTATGCTGTTGATCTCCAGTTTAATTGCACTGTGGTTTGGTAATATACAGGGGATAACTTCAGTTCCTTTGCATTTAATTAGGCATATTCTATGAGCTAGCATGTGGTCTATTTTGGAGAATGACCCATGTGCAGCTGAGAAGAATGTATATTCTGATTTTGTGGGATGGAATTGTCTGTAGACATCTACTAAGCCATTTATTCAAAGACTTGGTTCCGTTCTGTTATTTCTTTGTTGCTTTTCTTCTAGATGATCTGTTTATTTGTGTCAGTGGAGTATTGAGGTCCCCCACTATCATTGTATTACTGCTTATTTCATTTTTCATATCCATTAATATTAGTTTTGTATAGTTGGGGGCACTAGTATTGGGTTCATGTATATATTTATGATTGTCATTTCTTCTTTCCTTTACAAAGATGTAGTGCCCTTCTTTGTCTCTCTTAATTAGTTTTGGTTTTTACATCTACTTTGTCTGCAAATAAGATAGCAATCCCTGATTTTTCTGGGCTCCTTTCATATGGAGAACTGTTTTCCATCCTTTTACTCTCAGTCTGTGAATTTCTTTGTGGATTAAGTAGGTTTCTCGTATATAGCATATTATTGGATTTTGCTTCTTAATCCATTCTGCCATTCTTTCTTTTGATTGATGAATTGAGGCCATTAACATTGGTGGTTATAACTATTATGTATTGATTTTTCATCGTCATGTTTTTTTCCTGTTATTGGTTGTTTTATTTTTTATTTTTCCCTCTCTCCCTTTAATTTCTTGCCTTGCCTGGTATATTTGCCTTGTTGGCCCTTATGGAGTTGTGGCCTTCCTTTTCTTTTTCCAGGATATTGTTTAGAAGTGTTTGGAATGCTGGTTTGCTGTTCATGAAATTTCTCAGGTGTTCTTTGTTGTGGAAGTACCTTGTTTCCCCATCAGTTTTGAAAGATAGTTTTGCAGGATACATCAGTCTGGGTTGGAGGTTGTTTTCTTTTAGGACTTGAAATACGTCAATCCAGGCTTTCCTTGAATTGAAGGTTTGTGTTGAAAAGTCTGCTGTTTCTGATGGGCTTTCCTTTGCATGTGATTTGTTTCTTTCTGTAACTGCTTGTAGTATTTTGTTCTTCTGTTGGGTTTCCGGAATCTTGGTTAATATATGTCTAAGTGTAGTTTTTGTTTTTGATCATGACTATTTGGAGTCCTCTATGCTTCACTTATCTGTATTTCAAGTTCTTTTCCCTATTTGAGAATTTTTCTGTCATTAAATATGTGAACAGTTTTTTATGACATTTGTACTTTCTCCTACTTCATGGATTTCTGTCAGTCCTATATTACTCTTCTTTGCATCATCAGAAAGTTGTTGGATCCATTTCTCGTGATCCCTTACTGTTTTTAAAGAGCTCTCTCTCTTCATGGTCACTGACTGCAATCCTATCTTCTATATCTGAAATTCTATTTTCACATTCATTCATCCTTCTGCAAATGCTTTGGATAGAGTTTTTGTTTTGTTTTGTTTTGTTTTGTTATCAGGGATTGAACTCAGGTCCTTGTGCTTGCTGGGCAGACGCTGGAACCACTGAGCTAAATCCCTGGCCCTCTGTAGAGTTTTTAATCTCCTGGATATCTGTTTGAATCTGTTTCATAGATTCCATTCCTTTCCTATGTTGGGCATTCAAGGTTTCCATTTCTTTCCTATGCTGGGCATTCATGGTTTCCATCATGGTCCTGAGCTTATTTATTTTTTAAAAAAATCTATTTCTGTTCTAGAGTCTCTAATCATGTCTTTCATTCTTCTCACCATCTGTGTGGTTATCTGGGAAATTCTGTTTTGAATTTTTCTGGAGCTTCATTTATCTGTTTTGTTACTTTCTGTGCTATCGGTTCAGGGTGTCCAGATGGTTGATTGTCAGACTTTTCCACCTCATTTCCCCCAGAGTTTACCTTTCGTGAGGTGGAAGTCTGTGTTTGTGTCTTGTTTAAGTATCTTCTCATTTCTGTTTTTGTGTTTCATACTGTCCTTGATTTAATTCCTGGGTTAATACTTAAATCTTCCAGACATTGCCTGTCTTTAGGTTTTGAGTCTGAGGCAATCTCATTTTCATTATACCATGAAGGACAACTGATTAGATCAATCACAACACCTTAACCCAAGTAATACAATTAGCAACATAGTAGCATGAAGCACAGCTTAGAAAATGACAATTTATGGTAGTTATTAATCTATCACTTTTAACTGTGTGAATTAAATAAAAATCAAGGACCAGCCCAAAATATGTTTATTGTGAATTATCTCTTTTAAGATAGCAACTTTACCTTTCAGTATGGGGACTTAGAAGGAGTTGGGAAGGGAGGGATAGATGGGATAGAGAAAGGTTAGAAGTCATGTTAGTGGACACAGGAAGATCACTCAAACTCTGGGAAGATGTTGAAGAGAAAAAGAGAAGACAGAACAAAATGTACACAAGAACAGAACAAACTAATAGCAATTGGGAGGCTAGAGACTGTAATCACTTCCTTTTAAAACTAATGGCAATCGACAGAAGGAAAAAGAGAAGAAAAAAAAAAGAAAATAAATTCAAATTAGGATAGGAACAAGAACAAAAAGGAAGAGAATGAAGATCAAGGTGGGAGAAAGAAAAGATCAGAAAAAGAAGATTAAAAATTTTGAGAAAAGAAAAAGATAAAATTTTTAAAAAAATGATTAAAGATAGGAGAAAAATATTACTTTGAAAATAAAAAATACAAATAGAGATGAGGGCCTCCTTCAGGGTGTGCCTCTGTTGACACAGTACACAGTGTGGGCAAGAGTGTGCAGATCTAAGTTAATTAGTCTCAGCAAGCCAGCACCTGTCCCCTGAGTTTCAGGCTGATTTCTGTCTACAAGGCCCAAGTTGAGATCTCTGACCTTCTGGATTGAACTCTGCAAGCTTCTACTGCAGTTTCCAGCTGTCTTTTCCCTGAAGTTAGGTCAGGCTCCAGTGTGAGTTGCTGGGCCCTCTGACTTACCAACTATGGTAATGTGGTATTCCTTTATTGCAGAGATTTTCTTAACTTTTCCAGTGGGCTTCAACTTTCATCTAGGAGCCTCAGAGAGGCCCTCTTTCTCTTGTTCGTGGATGTGGGGAGGTGGGTGGCATGGACACTGCTGTGTTGGTGCCTGTGCACCTGGGCTTCTCTGCTGCACTGGGCTGAAGGGGTGTGCCTACCGGAGGGTCTCGCGCTTCTTCTGTGCTCCTCTGTTGTTCCATGCCAAAGAGTTAATATGTTTCTTTATATTGGTTATAATGCTAGATGAACCATACATTTATATTATAATGTGAAGAGCAGTGCACTTTAAAAAGTTTCTCATCTTCAGGCATGTTGTAGATAAATATGACTTGCTACTTTTAATTTTAGCTCACTTCTGTGAACCAATGAAGTACTTTTAGTATTTCCTTCTAAGTGCTATTAAAATATATGATTACATCTTTCACAGTCTGAGGGAAAAGGCCACGCCAATGCTGGAGATGCAATATATGAGGTGGTGAGTCTACAGCGACAGTCTGACAAGGAGGAACCAGTCACTCCTACTAGTGGAGGTGGTCCAATGTCACCGCAAGAGGATGAAGCAGAAGAAGGTATGGATTTGAACTTTCTTAGTTGCCTCTATTTCAGTAGCTGATTTTTTATAACCTTTAAAAGTAGGAGTGTGTGTGCGTGCACATGCACATTGGAGGGGAAGGAGTGATGGTTATTCCTCATCTCTGCCACTCTTTACAGCTATATTCTATTACTTGCAGAAGGAAATATGCTTCATTTAGTTCCTTGGTCGTGTAGTTCCCAGTGCCACTTACACAACTATTTATATTTGATAGCATCACATTGCTGGTTTGCGTCTTATTTTATCTCAAGTACTTTGGAAGTCTTCTATGAGTACTGTCAAATTCTCTCAAGGGTTTCTAGAATTTCAGTAGTATCTCATGTTATACTCTATGTTTAATGTTATTCAATACTTACTTGTTTTTGTGTAGTTGCTGTATCTCTTATCACTTACTTTTTTGGCATAGCATGTTCTCATTAATACATGGGTGCTGCGAGAAATGTTAATCAACCTCACAAAAGTACCTTTCATTTGGTTTTGTGCTCAGTACTCTTTAAAGAATTTAGAGCTAAGTGATAAATCTGTACCCTAAGACCTTTATGATCTTCTTCTGGGATAGGGTTTATTAAACCTCTGAATTCATACCACCATTGCCTTAAAATTCTCACTCTGTATATGTTACGATTTCCCTGTTTTTGAATGCATAAAAACAATAGTTATTTTGGTTTATATTTATTATTTTCTGTCTGTGAGGCATCATTCTATGTGTTTCAAATGTGTTAACATTTACTTATTACAATCCCTGTGAGTACTCTTATTAACTTGGTTGTAGGGATGAGAAACTGAGGCACAGAGAACTTAAGTCACTTAGCTATGTGTACAAAATTGAGATTGAAACCCAGGATATTTGATTCTGACATTTGCATTTACCACTGTCATGTTATTCTACCAAGGTAGCCAAGCTACTAAAACATATACGCAGCTTATGTGTTAAGCTAAGGTAAAATTTATGTAACATAAAGTTATTCATTTAAAAGTGTACAAGGCCAGGGATTTAGCTCAGTGGTTCTGCTGCATGCTTTACAAGTGCAAGGTCCCGAGTTTGATCCCTGGTACCCCACTCCCCCAGAACAAGTGGACAATTCAGTAGCAGTAAAGCATTCTTACCATCCAGAAAGAAACATCATACCCAAGAAGTCATGCCCTGTTTTTCTGGTTTTTTTTTTTTTTACCTTCTGTTGACTTCTAGTTTGCTTTTTCTTTTTATTTACCTATTCTATATAATTCAGACATATGGAATCATGTAGAATGTGACCTTTTTAGTTTGGCTACTTAAATTTAGCACAGTATTTTTGAGGTTTGTCCTTACTGATACATTTTATAATATGTATCAGCATTTCATTTTTTTATGGCTGAATAATACATAATATGTAGCTGTACTATACTTTGTCCATTCATCAAGTTTTTAATTTTAAAGAAGTATAATTTACCTATTTTTTCTTTGTTTTGTGTTTTTAGTATCATATCTAAGAATTCATTGTCAAATTAATGTCATAGAGGTGTACCTCTGTTTTCCTCTAAGAGATTTATGACTCATATTTAGATCTTTAATGCATTTTGAGGTCCTTAAAGATACAGTGTGAGGTAGGAGGTCTAGTATTTCTTTTGCATGTGGCTCTCCAGTTGTCCCAGCACCATTTGTTAAAGAGTTATTCTATCTGTATTGAATAATCTTGGCACTTTCATTGAAGATTACTTGGTTATAGATACATGGATTTTTTTTCCCAGATGCTCTATTCCTTTATTTCTCTCCTGTTGGTGTATGTTCCTGTTGGTCCATATGCCAGTACTAAATTATATTGATTACTCTAGTGTTTGTTTGTTTGTTTTTTGGTACTGGTGATTGAATTTAGGACCTTGCACCTGCAAGGCATGTACGGTGCCCTGAGCTAAATCCAGGCCCTACTCTAGTTTTATATAACTTTTGAAATTGGGAAATGTAAGTCTTCTAACTTTTTTCATTTTCCAAGGTTGTTTCACTTATTGTGTTCCTTGATTTTATATGAATTTTAGTATAAGGTTGTCCATTTCTGAGAACTAAAAGGTTTTTTTTGGGGGGTGTGTGTGTGTATATGTGCATGATTTTTATACAAGATCATTGTTAAACCTTTAGATTATTTCAGGTAGTATTACCCTTTTAGCAATATTGTCTTCTAATCCATACAGTAGTTTGCATTTGCATTCATTTAGATTATTTTAATTTCTTCCACCAATGTTTCGAGCAACTTATTTTTAAATTGAGCATGTAGGTTTTATGGTTATGTTAAGCCTTGTCTTGCTTCTGTAGTGAAGGTGCTAGTAAGATTCTTAGGATTTCCTGTCAGTCATTTGGCTTTCTAGATTGAACTTGGCTCTTGGAGTATTTTTTTCCCTGCATTTGATTAAATTTAGAGTAAAGAAAGAATTTCTTTAAATTTTTTTTATCATTGATCATACCTCCCCTCTTTTTGACATTTTGCTTTTTTAACACTATCATGTTTCAGGCCTTCTGTTTTTTTTTTAATTAATTTTTTTGGCATACTTTTTGTATACCTAATGATGTCATTCATCATAGGGAATTTGTACCTGTTCCTAATATATCTTGATTCTTCTTTTCTCAATTTTTCTCCCCTCCTTTCAACCTTCTTCCTTTCTTTATTTATGAAAGCTTTGTTTCCATTTTCCCCTTCTATTCTTCTTTTTCTTTTCCTTTTTCCTTCCCTAGTTCCCCTTCTAGTTCCCTAGTTCCCCTACCCTAGTTCCCCTTCTCATTTGCACGTTTTCTTCCTGTTTCCCAGTATTTGTCACCCATTTTGGTCCTTATTTACCTTTTCAAATTCTCATACTAGAGAAACAATGTGACTTTTAAATATGTATGTGTGATTTATTTCACTTAGACGTATGGTCTCAAGGTGCATCCACTTACCTAAAAATGCCTTGAGTTTATTCTTCTTCTGGCAGAATAGTACTCTATTGTATAAAAAAAAACAAACAAAAAACCAGCATTTTCTTTATCCATTCATCTGTTGGTGGTCGTTAGATTTAGCTATTCTAAATTATCCTACAAACATGGATGTGGATATATTGCTGTGATATAGTGCTTTTAATTCTTTTGAAAAGATACCAAGAAGAGAATAGCTGGGTCAGATAGACCCTCTAGTTTTGAGGAATCTTCAGATTTATTTCTGTATTGATTGTACTAATTTGCACTACCACCAACAGCCAAGAAGGGTTCCTTTTTCCCACAGCCTAGCCAGCATTTGTTATTGTTTGATTTCTTGATGATAGCTATTCTTTCCAGAATGAGCAGGAATGTCGTTGTTTTAGTTTGCATTTCTCAAATGATCAATGATGTTAAACAATTTTTCATATATTTATTTGCTGTTTCTACTTCTTCATCTGAGAAGTGTCTCTTCATTTCAGATGCCTATTTTTGGATTGGTTCTTTAAATTTGGGGGGTAGTGATCATTTTGAGTTCTTCATCTATTCTAGATATCAGTCTTTTGTCTCACTGCCTTAATAATTGGAATCTTTTTTTTCACCTTGTTTATTGGTAGATTTAAAGCAAACAATACAATTACCTTCATCATGGGGATCCTGTAACTTTACATGATATATTTAGTTCTTATTTTTTCCCCATACTCTGCCCTCCCATCACCCTCTTCACCCTTCCCTATTATATTAATTGGAGTCTTTTTTTTTTAATTGGAATCTTTTTGTGACTTGTCATATCATTTCTGTTTATTGCTGTATAATATTCCATTGTACAGCTGTACCACAGTTTCTATATCCATTCTCCAATTGAAGGGTATTTTTGCTTCTTCCAATTATTAGTAATCAATTAAAAGATTTTTCAGGATTTTGTGTGGACTATTTTCAACCTAGATACTTTGGAGTATCTAGAAGTGTTATGCTAGACCATGTAATAAGCCTTTGTAAGAATTTCAAGTAGTCATTTATCATGGCTGTACCATTTTCTTTCCTACTATCACCTAGTGAGAGTTCCCATGGCTCCATATCCTTTTCAGAATTTGGTATTTTCTTATTTTTTCTACTTTAACCATTATATAGGCATGTTGTAATAATCTCATTGTTCTTTGAATATGCAGTTCTCTAATGACATACAATGGTGAAATCTTTCATGTGCTTGTTTGTCATCTCTATATCTTCTTTGATGAAGGTGTCTATTTAAATATTATTCCCACTTTCATTTTTATATTTAAAATTATAATTATATTCATATTTATTTTGAATTCATAAGTAAAAGTTGATATGTTCCTAGAGTACAGTATGATGTTGTGACACTTTGAATGATTAAATCAAGCTGTTTAATATATTCCTATCTTGACATATCATTTTATGGTGAGAACATTTAAAATACAATTTTTCAGCAACTCTATGCTGTGCAATGGTATAGATCATTATAGCTTATTGTATCTGTCTGACCAAAACTTTATACTTATGACCAGCAGCTCTCCTTTCCTCTTCCCCTCTCTCCATGCCAAGATCTCTGGTAACTAATATGTATTCCCTACTATGAATTTGGCTTTTTTTCACTCCATGTATAAGTGAGGTTGTGCAGTATTTATCTTTCTATCTCAGGCTTGTTTCACTTAACATAATGTCCTCCAGGTAATTCGTGTTGTTACAGTTGACAGGACTTCATTCTTTTAAAAGGCTATATAGTATTCTGTTTTATATTTATGCCACATTTTCTTTATCCACTTATGCATTGACAGATCATTAGACTGATTCCATATCTTTTTTTTTCATTGAGTCTATTGGTACATTTTAGGTATACAGTACAGTTGCATTCATCTTTGGGATCTTGTATCTTTACATGACAGGTCTTGGTTCTCATTTTTTCCCTATACCCCTGCCCTCCCTTCATCCCCTCCACCCTCTTCTATTTATAAAGATTTTGTTTCCAATTTTTCTTTTTCTCATATTTTTTCTTTTCCCTTATTTCCTTTCTCCTACCCCTCCCACTTCCCCTA